CTACCGGGTTTACAAAAAAAAATTAAATACAAAAGTTGTTTCTATCAAAATGACCTTTTTTTTTATTTTCTTAATCATCACCTTTTTATATACGGGGTGATAAAACAAAGTGAATTTTTTATAAATAGAATAGCCTACATTTTATTGCATTTTTGGATAGTCCTTTCAAAGACAGAATCAACGACATAATGAGTATGAGTTTGTGATTCACCATTTCGAACTTATTAGTGATAATCTTTAGAATTCGAATTATGTTTAAGCCATCATTCTTGGGTTGCTTATTAACTTTTTAAACTTTTCTTTAGGCAATGATCGAAGTTAAAATTTTTCTTAACGGTGTTGTCACATTTCGCAAAATGAAACTTTTTTCAATTTTCTTAAATGAGACACCTTGTATATTATTGGATTTTCGAATAGCCACTTTGATAGCAATTTCAATTATATAATAGTACGGGTCCCTGACTTACGGTTTTGGCTTAATTGACAATTATTTTCCAATAATACATAAATTCTTTTACATTCATAATTTAAGAATATTGAAATGGATTTTTTTTTGTAAATATGGTCTTTAAGTGGAAAAAAAACTTTTAAAAAATATTCATATCCTTTATAATATATAGAAATCTGTCTGCTGAAAGACACAAACACAAAATTGATGAAGACATGTGGTCTATATTTTTCAAAAGTTTTTTTCCATTTCAATATTCTTAAATTATGAATGTAAAAGAATTTATATATTATTGGAAAATAATTGCCAATTAAGCCAAAACGGTAAGTAAAGTGGCTTTTCGAAAATCCAATAATATAAAGAGTGTCATTTAAGAATTTTTTTTTAATTTGATCATTGCCTAAAGAAAAGCAGTATTTTCGTAAAAATAATAGATGAAAAAAAGTTTAAAAAGTTAATAAGCAACCCAGCAATGATGGTTTAAACATAACCTGAATTCTGACGATCATCGCTAATAAGTTCGAAACGGTGCATACTCATATATATTGTTGAACTTGTCTTTGAAAAATGTAACTTTGTTTTACCACCCTATATATAAAAAAGTCATAATTAGGAAGATAAAAAAAATAAATAGAAACAACTTTTGTATTAATTTTTTTTTGTAACACCTGTAGGTTTCAGGATAAGGTGTAGGCTCCTCCTAAGCGGCCATCCTGTACAAACACGCGTTTGATCGAATCTGTGAGTTTATGTTTATTATTTTATTATATTATTATTTATTTATTTTATTATACATTGACATCAAAGTAATCCATGGACAACTGTGTTTATTCAATTTTAATAGAAAAGCAGAAAATCACAAGAGCAAAAGTAAACAAACAATATTTGAAAAAATATTTACGTCATAGATAGATAGATGGTGATGGGAGGGAGGATTAGAGTCGGTGAGTATCCGATAATTTGAACAATACTCCAAATCAAGTTCTCAAACTTTTTGGTTAGTTTAAACTTTTAAAGATCCAAAAGACCTGCACCACTGAACCGAGCTTGTTTTGGTTGCTAACATTTTTTTCCAGTCTTTCTATCCCATCCTATATTGTCATATCCTACAAAAAATACTTATTTTTAGTTTTCTTTAAATGAAATGAACTAAATGAAGACGCTCAAAAATTTAAATTGTTTAGAAAACAAAAATGTTTTTCAAAAAAAGCCTAATAATTTTTTCTGCAACCAAGAGGGGGTTGCATAAAAAACTTCAAATTGATAATGCTACTGACATTTACAAGTAGATGCGTGGTATATGGTACATGTCTGCTCAGGATTTATTAAACGTATAGCACAAAGTTTGTAAGACAATATCTTAATATGTCTAGACATAAGACATATTAAGGATGTTTGTTGTAATGGTCATATATAGCAGAAGTCGAATAGAAAGCCGCCAATCAATTTGCTAGGCATAAGATATCCGATAAATACACACAAGGGCAACGCCACTTGTCTATTACATTAAATTTTTGGAAATTGATAAATAGTTTTCATAATTTTTTTTCGAGATCTTGAAGACAACCTCCAACTTTTAGAACGGTTTTAAATTTGCTGAGTTTGTTTGAGTGAAGGAGAGTGTTTTGTTCATAGGGCAGTCAAGTTTGAAAACACATCTGCCTCTTTTTGGGTTATATTGTATCAAATGTATCAAAGATGTAGAAGTTAAACAAAAGTTTTCACTTTTCGAATAATAAAAATTATGCTGCTAATAAAGCTTCCCAGATGGAAGGTTTCATTATACCCAACACTTTATCAGCATAAATGCATTAAAAATCTTGCATTTTTCTCTTGCGCGTCCTCTTGTGTCTGATTTCATTTTTAATGTCGTAAATAAAGACTCTAGTGAATTTTTAAAACTAAGTACTTTACAAATTAATCATTTTGGACAGTTATGATGATATTGATGTCCTTTCTTACCTTAATATGAGTTCGATATCTGTGCGGAGACGTTATACCATATATACTTTACAACATTCTCCATGCAAAAGCTACTACTGCCCTTGGAATTCTTAAGAACAACTAGAGTATCTCATTATCCAATTCATCAAATTGCCGCATTAATATTTTTTTTCCTAGAACTACCAGGCTAGCCAACTAACACTGCCTGATTCAATTTTTTGCATGGTTTAAATTTTTTTTAAAATCAATTCTGTAGTAATTTTAGGTGGAAAATATAAATACATAGAATGGTAAATGTTTCGGATAATTGATTCCCTCGATTAAACGCGATGTTCATGTATTGTCATTCATAGACAAGCTTAACTGTTATTTTCTCTAACTAAAAGCTATGGCATGGTACCCAAAAAGAACGTAAAATAATTGGCTCCATATTTAGAACGGGTCAGCTTTGCAGAACATCAATAATATTTCGCAGTTACTAATGGTTATCTATAAATTTAAAGTTTCCGTGTGATAACGGATCTCCTACAACATTTTTCGAACAGTGTTAAAAAAGCGCAAAACAAGGAAAATATTCTGAAAAACATTGAATCTTGAGTCGTACGACTTTCGTTTCAGCCGTATCGATCAGCAACACATCTAAATTGCTTCCAAGTTTATTTTTACTGGTTCGATTATTACCGCCAAAGGAAAAATATTTATTTCATTTCAATTGAATCGCTAAAAATATTTATTTATGTTTATTTTTCGTTTTCTCCACCTGCCAGATTGTTTGTATTTCCCACAAATTACGTATTAATATTGGTCAAAGACTGATAGTCTTCTCGTGGTCAATAAGGTAGGTGCTATGAAACGATTTGCATACATATCACAATAAAATACCGCATACGTTTTTTTAAGCAGATACCTATACGATCGTCTTTATCAAATGCAATGATACAAGTGTAAACAAAATCCCACGCATTTATGCCAACTACAAGTCGATTGCTGTGCAACAAATTCTGAATAGGCGGTATCGGGGCAATAAAATGTCCGCAGTTATTGTCCAGTAAACATTGGTGTTACCTTGTGAATTTGCGTTATTGGCTATCTAATTCTGTTTTTTTGTACTACGTATCGTTGCGTCCAGCTAAATTTGATTTCGATTTTACTTGGAAGTTTTGTAATGGTATAAAATTCAGAACACATTACACAAACATTGATGCACGGCAACGATTACAGTTTTTGCAACTTCTGTCACAATTGTTCCTCTGGCAAAATTCTGTTACTCTGTGGGGATTTCAATGCTTTGGTTACGTGGAAAGTTAAAACATTGATCTTCTAGTAGTTCTTTGCATATTTATTTCGTTTTTCACCGGACATTTAACGGAGTTTGGGTATTTGAGAAAATTTTGCCCCAAAAATGCCACATCCAAACCAATCCAACGTCCTTGAATGACAGTTCTCAACATATTTTTCACGTAGCTTCAGAAGTTCTTACAACAAAAGTACCTACTACAGACCTAAAGTACCTGCTGCTTATAAATCCGTACAATTTATTATTATTATTACCTAAATAATTCGTTCGTCCGTTCTTCCTTAATTCTGTGATACTGCTCAATAAAGCAACTTCACTTAAATTGGAGCCAATAATAGGCAATCATAATTAATTAAAAACGTAATATATTTTTCTATATAATTCGTAAATAGTAGCGCATGCTACGGATGGCATATGCTTGATAGATCTAACCAGAAATATTGAATGAATACTTCAAGCACTAGAATGCATTGTGTTTTGCGTATGCAACCTATGGTAACGAGATCCCACCACAGATTTTAGGCTTCTGATTTTAACTGAAAAAATGTAAGATTTATCCTACTGGAGCCAGTATTATTATTATTTTTTTCTATGTCTAAATTTGCTGTCAAATTTAAACAAATAATAAAAATAATGGAAATCACATTTTAGTGTTTGAAATTTATCCTTTCCTTGCCAGTGCGACGGACAACGTGCTGCCAAAAATAATTAAACTACAACAACTAAATATAAGATAAGGAATAAAATTTTATAATCTTTGCTTCCGTATTTAAAAATAAACCATTTATTAATACATTGTTTTGAGCTGGTGGTAGTAATAGGACCACAGAATGAGTTTTCTTTTAATATTTGGATTGGGATTCTGTTATTATTTTATTTCGCTGGACGAAAGGAGCAATAAGCACCTAACAACAAATATTTTGAGATGTTTTTCTGGAATACTAGGCTTTAACTGTTATAACACCTATTTTTGTTATTTAATTCCTCTTGACTGAGATTTACTTCCCAAATTAGGTTTTGTCGTTTCAATAACATCTTGTATAAACCAGGTAACTCATAAAGTATGTCGGGAGACGTAATTAACATTTGCTCTGGAATACGTTGTCACTTTTCAGGCATTGAAACAAATCTTTCTGACATGCTGACGGAATGAGTAAACGCTATTAATAAAAGCGTTCTAGAAGCTTTTCAGATTCCACCGAGATTTAAACAGTTTACGTTATTCCACGTGGACCGATTAATTTCATAATTTCATGCGTATTTCACATTGTTGATATCACAAACTACAGAAGTGTGTTATTTTGTCGACAGGTCGCGGTGCAGATATTCTCTTGGACCTATGCCAAAGGGTAAAAGAAAAGTTCCAGATTTCCTGGAGAATGATATCGCTAGTGGACGTTATATTAAAATATGCCAAAGAAAATCAGGAAGAAGCGCTTAGGCAAATTGATGAAGGTACGTAAACACCCGTAAATTATTAGGAATATGGAGTTCAGATTTTAATGTAAGGTCGCTGTTCATTTGAGGCAAAAGTAGAGAAAGAAGAGAAAACAATTTTTAATTTTTTTGATCATACCTATTACGTCTGACTCATATTTTCAATGAAGTGTCCACACTTTCAATCATTTTTTAATACATTCCTATATCTTTTGCAAAGTTTTGCCACTTTTTTGCAAAAACAATTATCCCTCTTTGGATAAAACAAACATTTTTCATTTTATATTATGTGCAGTCTTTATTCTAGTGATATTTGTGAATATTGCAAAATAATAAAGGATTGCGTCCGCAATGTAATCAAATTAGAACTCGACATCTATGCGCATGCTTAGCAATTTTATGAAAAGTTGTAGAGCGAGAAACGCGCTTTGATTTAGTTTTTTCAAAATCTAGTTACGATTAAATGTTAACTGCGATGCCCAAAGTAATTGAAGGATGATATGAGATACTCGTTTCTCATTTGTTGTAAATGTGTGTCCTCATTTACAAGAAATGAACTTTCGGAGTGTTTTTGGTATACCTTCACCTTCTCCCAACATTATGATTTTTTTGGGCAACCTTCATTAATTACACGAAATGAATATCGATCCTTTTTTTTAGTATTCATAACTATTTACGGAGTTTTTTATTAATAATGATAATAATTGGTGAATAATAATGATGATGGTGATGATGAAATGAAAATAATTGGGTGCTTCATTTCTTCATACAAAAGCAATATACAATTCATTTTCAGTGGAAAGCAGGAACGCGATGAGAGGGCACTTTTTCAGTATGATTTAGATCTTCTTCCACTCAATTTTTGTAGCAATAGTGAAGGGTATCATTGCATACGTGAACACATGTTAACCTGCAATAAGCAGAAGTATGAAGAAATTACCATTATGTGTCTTTCCAAATAATAGCACTAAGTTTCCAAGAAAAAATGAAATACTTTTGTGATTTAAGTTCACTAATAGTATTTATTTGATTACGAATTAAGAATGTAACTTTAGGTTATACTATTTGTCTTTGACATTTCCTTCCTGTTTTTATTTATTCATCAAATATTGTATATAATTTGTAGGCATTTAAGTGGAAGTATTTTTGGTATAATCTTTTTTTAAAGTGAAACTTATTACTACATAAAATTCAGATTATCGCGTACAACAGTAACTGCAACATTATGTTCATCGCAAAGACAATAAAAAGGCACATGGCGATGAGTGATGGTACCATATATAGTTTTTTTTGTATTCTATTTATGTTTCTTCTATAAAAAAATGAATATATTAGTGGTCTAAGGTTAACTCAAAGTATTACTTTTCATATTTTCTGCCAATTTCCAATAAAGTACTTTCTATCATTCAAAACTTTTTTTCTTGGTGAATACTTTGGTAAAATGGAATAATTATAAAATCACACAATTGTTACAAAATTTTACACTACACCGTTTTTTTTCTTAATTTTAATTTTAATTTTAAGAGGTCAGCAAGAGGTAAACCTATCCGAAAATAGCATGATATATGTCCTACAATTAATAGTAGACACTAAAATTGGCAAATCTTGGTTAACGGTATTAAGATTTCCCCAAATTTAATTTAGTTCAAAAGTTAATAATAACCGACATAATGAGTGAACCAGTACTTTTGCGCGAAATTTTCAGATTGGGAGTTTTTTGGGGGGGAGAAACTTGAATTTGTAGATACTTTTTTATTAAACGTTTCTATCATTATTTTAAAGCGCAAAAGGATACCCCGCAAATGCCTCTCAGAGCAACTGGTTTGGAAATTTTTGCAAATTTACAATTACTTCGATTTGCAAAAAAAATTCTACGTACAGGCTGAACGATGAAACGAATACGATAAATTCGCTTTGGAATTTTATTCCCGCAAATTTTCTTAGCGTGTCATCTGCTTGATGTCATCAACTTCTATGGCTTTAAATTATTACAACATTATAATGATAAATGATAAATTTATAATGATGGAAGGAAGGGCTTTTATGACTTTTATATTTTTGTGGAATAAAAAACTTCGAAGCGTATTAGGGACAATTAATCTTCGCGATATATATTTTTGTAGATAACGCAATCATATCAAAATTCACAAACTTTTAAAATTTCGGAACTAATCCGAAGACATTCTAGAAAAAATGAAAATGAAAGGAAGTGGAACTAGAAAAATAATAACGTTTGCCACCACCAGTATTGACTTCCTTGGGAAATATTTTTAAATATGTTTGGACCACTCAAAGGCTGCAGCGACACGGCATTTTCCACACAACAAAGTTGCAATGCTATCGGCCGTGTTTTGGTATCGGCAAGCGGAGCAACATTGTCGTTCCACTAGTCCGAATCACGTCTACGGGTAACCCGAGTAAGACTTGCCGGCTGTTCGAACCGATTAAAAAAAATTCGTGGCTCGTTAGCTTGAATACATTAACGCCTGAAACGTGCCATATGGGTGGCAATTGTAAAATGTATGAAGTTGGTCAAAATACAAACAAAATGTACGAAAGCAGCGGCCCGAACTTAAAAACGCCTTCGCAAGGGAAATTCAGCCGTAATGTGCTAGCCAATATGGCCGGGTGTGGTGTCGTACATCAATATAGGAAAAGCACGCATACGTACGTACTAAAAATATTATAACCTATGCATTTATGGCTGTCGTAAATAACAGTTTAACGATTTTATGCAGTTGTTTCAAAACATTCTCGCTACGCGACGCTGTACGGAACATTTAATAAAAATTTACTTTACCGCCGCCACAACTCGTATATTGCATTATTTGTAAAAGTTAAATGCTCTAAACGATTGTTTTGTTTTCCCCGCTTTTTGTATGCAAATATTTTGTGCGTTCTAACGGATCAATGTACGGGACGTACGAGGTGATGCTATAGCTACTGATCATACTCAGCTTCAGAACATACTTATCGTAGTAAACATTTTTAGTGCACACAATTTCGGATTTTGAACCCCTTTTCTCAAAGCCAGTCCCTAGTAACTTTATTCGCCAAAGGATACCACGTGTTCACATGGAGTAAGACAGCGATAGTCCATATCAGGCTGTTCCATAGAAAACATATACCACACCCAACTTAGTTTCTACCAGGGGTCTCCAAACTATGGCCCGTAGGCCAGATCAGGCCCGTCAGTGTCATCAATGCGGCCCGCGACAGCAATTAGCTCATTGTTAAGTATACCTCGATGCCAAGCATAACATGCAGAAGATTTCATGTTACCTATCCACTGAATAAATGTTGGCGACCACATGTTGAAATTGACCTCTGTCCCTGGCTCCGTTGACAAGCTCTTCTATAGTTCTTAATTCGGTCCACTGTCGAATACTTCTTGCCTATGACATCTGCTCTTCCAACTTCTTTTCCACCGTTTATTTCACCTTATATACCCATTCTTCTTCTTATGGCGCCGGCGCCGTCTCCTTTCGAAGGTTGGCGATCCAAATAGCTAACGTGGTTCTAGATACGGCCATATGGACGATGTCGAGCGATGAGCAACCAAACCATCATCGAATGTCCTTCAACCAAGAGTTTTGGCGCCTGCCGACCGACCTTTCACCTTGGACTTTGCCTTCTATAATTAGGCGCAGAAGTTCATACTTTTCACCTCGCATTATGTGCCCAATATAACGAGTTTTTCTTTCTTTGATGGTAAGCATAAGTTCTTTTTGTTTTCTCATGCGATTGAGAACTTCTACGTTCGTTACTCTTTGGACCCATGATATTCTTAGTATACGACGGTAAATGTACATTTCAAATGCATCTATTTTCTCTTCTAGTGATGGGTTTAGGGTCCTACTCTCACATCCGTACAGAAAAACCGAGAAAACATAGCATCTGACCATGCGTACCCTGAGCTCCACGCTCAAATCTGATCTCACGAAAAGTCGTCTCGTATTCAAGAATGTTTTTCTGGCCTGTTCTATGCGGCATCTGACTTCTTTCCTTGGATCACATTGATCAGTTATGATGCTCCCCAAATATTTATATAAAACACTTTTTCCACCGCAGCGCCATCAAAATTCAGAAGAACCTGAACAGATGTCTTGGTAAATGCAATGACCTTAGTTTTTGTAGTGTTTATGAGGAGGCCAGCGTTTTGGCTATATCACACTATGTGATCCATTAGCCTCTGCAGGTCCTGGGCATTCTCGGCTAGCACAACGGTGTCGTCGGCATATCTGATGTTGATTATTTTCCCGCTGACCTTAATCCCACACTCGATTCCGTCCAGAGCCTCTGCGAAGATTGCTTCTGAGTAGAAGTTGAATAACAGCAACGATAACACACAGCCTTGCCTTACACCTCTTCTAATTATGATTGCCTCTGATGTTGTTTCTTCAATTTTCACTACTGCGTTTTGCTTCCAGTAGAGATTTGTAATTAATCGGATTTCTTCTCTATCTATTCCAGTTAAATAAGAAAAGAATAACATACCAAGCACAAAGGAAATCGAGGTTAAAAGGGGAATCGATACTAGATTCTATTACAAATTTTGATTAATTTATCAGTAAACGTCTTTAGGTTCTAATTCTGTTAGTAACTTTTTTATAGTGCACTTAAAAACTTTTATATTTGCAAATGCTTATACATTATAGATATAGATATAGATAAGATACAGATAAGCTTAAATAGTGAATTAGGTAATTTCTATTTAAGGTTCTGGTATCATATCTGCGAAATATCTAAAGCTCGAAGTCCTTTCTATTTTTAAAGAAGAATCTCAATACTTCATAAATATACCAAGCGTACACGGCCTTGAACACCCCTCTCCAACTCTATCTAAATTCCATTTTTTTAGGTACGAATTTTCTATAGTTGACCAGAAAAGTAATTCCATACCTCATGCGCGACTCAAAGTTTGCAAAATAGCTAATTTTTAGTTTGCATATTCATAGAGTTTGCAACAACTCTAATTCCCTAACAAATTAAATTTCGTTTATTTAGTAAATAATTAATATGTTCAGACCATTCAAGAAACTCGTTAAATTGTAAACCTAAGAATTTAGTATTCTTCACAATATTCATATTTTCTTTACCGATCCTTTCTTTACCTATAAAATTAGGCCAAAAATACTACCCTGTGCTATGCCCAGAGTATTTTCCTTAATAACCGAAAGGTATTCTTTGCCACACATGCACGGAATGCTGTAAACTCCTGGCATCTCAAATGGAATTTTGTTTTAGGCGGATCGAATATGTTGATAGATTTTTGTGGTAAATTGGGTTGTGACGTTATATTTCTTAAGAACTTTTTATTTGTGGTCAGTGATGTTTTGAATGTAAGGAAGGAAAATAGTGGCAAATGTGAGATTGTTTTTTGATTCATGGAACGTTGTGGTGTATTTTGTGATGGAACGCTTAATGTCTTTATTGTGGAAATTATTTAGAGAGGAAAGCAGAGGTAAAGTATTTTAATGCTGGGTTCAGTGACTCCGGCTGAAATAGAGTTACGGCTCTGTAAACAAGAGAGTTGATAATCGATGATTCTCGGGCCCTCCGGAAGTATTTACAACCATACCCAAAATTGAAGGCAACCCAATCTTGAACATTTTAGAAATCTTTACAACTATTTAAGTGAAATATCATTATATTTCGGTTCAACTATTATTGTTGCAAGATTTACCATCTCGGCTACTCAATTTTTACAAAATGTGCGAACCGAAAATTCAAATTTCCTTAAAAAGATTCTGTTCTCCGATGACACTACACTACAAGACGAGGAATCCTTAATTGGAAAACTATTAATTTGCGGGATTCTAAGAATCTTGATGCTGTAGAATCAACACATTTTCAGCATGAGTTTAAGTTTAACTGGACCTAGATATTCGAACTTCAACTGAAAAAATATTTTCCTAAAATCTGAGCACTGAATTTTAAGACACCTATCGACGTGGCAAATATTTTACTGCGTATTTCATTTCGTGAAAATCTGTAATTTGGCCGAAAACCCTGCTTTTCTGTTAAAATGACATCTATATTTATGGACATTTTTGAAATCACCAATTAATGGCAGTAAATCAAATTTGAAAATGTCATACTTCTACAGTTCTTCTAAAATGTTCTTAGGGTACTCAACGTGAACCACCTTATATATACGCCCCGATACAAAGAGAAACAAAAACGATTTTCGAACGAAGATTTACGATCGACGAAGCGGCCGTCTCAAAGACACAATTTAACCTGATTTAAATTTGTGGCCGTTTTATGATCTCTAATTTAAAAGCTGGCTAGTTTGCTGCTGAGTCAAGCCCATATAAAAGTTATGACCCGAAGTATAAGATTGCATAGGGCTCAACTAAAAGGTCAGTTTGAATCGGACCTCTGAAATTCTGAACCCCTATCTGTAATGATTTTACGAGTTATCGATTTCGCGTAAATGTTTTGTCTGGAGGCGTATAGTTCAGGATATCTGAGGTGTAGAATCGCATGTCGGGTTTAGTTATTCAGACTCGCCTGCCATTGACACTATCGCAGGGTTTTATGACGCTGTAAAGTAAGAAAAGTTAGTTCATTTCGACGAAAGTTCTCTATGGCGGTGTGCCGACAAACATTTTAATTTGCTGTTTTAATCAAATTGGTGCAAAAAAGATGTTATGGGTCTATTCTAATTTTAGCGTTTTTGGAATGTCGAGCGATGGCTGCAGTTCAAGCTGCCCGGTACTCTTACCATCATGTACAGTACCCGGCACTGTACAATGCCGCACTTTACCCTCCAGTCTACCTGTCCTCCATGTCGTTCTACCATCAAGCGCCTACGCTGTTACCGTCCACATTGCCACCACCAGCTTGCTCGTCACCTACGCCCTTAAGGCCATTGAGTCGATCTGGATAGGGTAAGTTTTTAAGTATACTTAGACCAGGAATATAGTGCTTTTACAACCGACCCCGTGATTAACTTTGCCTACTGTTTATTACTCCAAAACCGCAGCCCCTTATAGAACACCCTGCCTAGCAGACCCTTACCCGTAACCATTCTAGGACCGTCCTAGTAATTAATCTACCTACACTAACAAGCGCGTTTTCAATCTTTTTCACATGTACATAAAAGAATTACTACAAAGTAACAGTTCTATTTCATTACATTTCTATATAGTATCATTATTAATATTCAAAATATTTAATATAATAATAATAAAGTATCAGTCACTTAAAAATTCGTCATTATCCAACTCCGCCACTAATCGTTCTCGATAACTATTTTCTTCTTTTATTACTCGTTTTTCACAGCTAGATGTTTTAACTACCTCTTGTCGAATTACATTTATGGTACTATCACTCAATTTTGCAGTGTTATTTCTTCTTATATGAGTTATCACACCATCCTTTTTGTATTGTGTCGTGAGTGTCGAACCACGTTTTGTCTAAATACACTATTGGCTTATTTTACTCTCGAAATGTTTCAATTACATTTAAATAATCCACCCTCCATTGTGAAATTCTTTGAGATTCCATAAGCACGTGGCGTTTATTAATTGTTCGGAACTGAAAATTCATTTTCTTCGAAAAAGTACGCAACGACTCTTTGGCACAACTAATGTTTAATTCCGGTTGACTATCCCATTTGCCACAATTTTTATCACAGTTGACTTTTTGGAACTTTGGTCATGTCACTTGTTTTTATTGCTGCTTCTCCTTCTGAATTTCTTATAAAATTGTAAACATTCAAAACAATTTCTTTAGCATTCGAAGACAAATGGATCAGTTTTTTTATTTGCTGAGGTAGTTCGTCTTCTAAATTGTCATTAGGTTCGACTACCATCTGCACTTCGTCTTCAAATTCTGCGTTATTTTCCATGTCTTCTTCTAACAGGGGAACATCTGCTGTATTGTTATGACGTACCTTTATCTACCGCGAATATGCAGTCTTAAAAAAGACTGTTGTTTACAAATCGAAGAACTATGTAGGACACACAAAAATACAAGAACCAGAATGGTGTTAATCAATAGGCACACTAGACAAAAATGATTATTTTCAAACTTACCCGTTGAACTATCTAGTGAAAACAGCCTCGCAGGATGAATGCTCGAGAATGAGGTACATACGTATTAACTTCAAGGATCACAATGAAATACCTCCGAAAATATTGCAATTTAGATTAAACTTTTAAGAACGATACATATCAACTGATTTTATCATAAACTCTTCTACTTAATCGAAAATACCTCGCAGCATCAAATTTAAAACGGTTAAAACGGTTCACTTACGTTTAAAATAAAAATTTCAACAAATATTCGTTACGATCCATCTCATACAAGACCTACTTAATTAATAATTAATATTAAAGTAAAATAAACATCTGTTGGGATAGGTTTTACCACGGTCCTGCGTTTAAGGAACTGTAAAATACTTAAAATGTCAAAGCAATAAATGCACTATATTTTTGGTCGCATTATAATTATGTACGGTGTCCAATTTTAGATGTAAATCTACGGAATCTCAATAATCCAAATAATGTAATGAATTTCGGCTTCTTTAAAACACCCACGAATTAGTAACTAAATTTGCAGAACAGACTCTTTTCTACAGAATTAGTTAATAGAGAGAAATTTTTAAAAAATTTTAACGTAAGATGTTAAATATCTCAGCAACGGTGAAATTTAGGTATATGACGATATGTCTAAAATTTTGAATTCAAAAAAGCAAAAATATCTAGAATATGTCCTTTGAAATAAAAATATACAATTACTTATTTTTTCTACTCCCATCTGTAAAATACCTAATTACACACCGATCTAGCGTGCCGGAAGCATCGCTTTATCACAACAGTTTCGTTTCCCACGAATCCGAGCCACTTCGGACATTTCCGGGATTTTACCGCACGGATTTGGGAGCAATCGGATGTTTTCGGAGATATTTCCCACGCTTTAAATTTCTACGTTTGTCAATTCTGACGGTCATGTCAGTGAATGTATTCGTGTTGTTATAATAATAACATTTTCAAAAAAATTCAAAAATTTAAAAAGTAATTATTCAGGCTATAACTAGAAATTACTAATCAAGGCTAACTATAAATAATATATAACAAATATATAATAAGAAAAACTTCTTCAAAGATCTTTTATTTAAATAACGCCTCCGAAAGCATCAAACGATGCCAATCTCCTTGAGGTAATAATTGTTTAAATATACATAATATGTGTTAAGCGTTAAAAAACTTTTATTAATTCAAAATTAATTTTAAAACGTACATGTATAAAGCCCCCATATATCCCAAAAGAGAAACTTTTAGGAAACCTTGTATGTTGGACACAATTTTTCGTAGTGTGTAGTTAGAGTACTTAAATAGTCATTTCGGCATATACATGTTGATTCTATCCGCCAGCACGGCCTTTTTGTACTGTCTTTTGATGTTTTTTAAGCAAGTTTAAGAAGCACCGTTTTGTTTACAGTTTGATTTATCACAAGCGGGGTGGAGGGGGGTAGAGGCTTAATAAATGAGTGAATTAAATTTATATTTCGTCTACCGTTAGTCTTTGGGTACCTTTTTTTTTAACAGCACACAGCACTGACTGGTTATCACTATTCACAAACGTCAAAATGTGATTCGCAACTGGGCGCAATGAAGCTGAGCTATTAAAGTGACAATTTTGGCACGCTTGATCGGTAATTGAATATTTTAGAGTAGGAAGTTGAACAAAAAAAGTTTTCATTTTGATAAAAATAACAAACCATCCAACCGTGGAAAGTGGCCTTAACAGATTTTAAATATCTTGTTTTTGGCTAGTTTTACATGCCTTTGGTAATTGAATAATTCATTAAAGAATTTTCTTCTGTTTTTGTCGATATAGAGAACATGTATGTTGAAAAAATTTGGAAAGTTACATTTTTCAAAATAAATATGTCTGTATTATCAGCTAGAACGCGTGGATGTTATTTAAAATAGTAACGGAAATGACTGTCAAAGTTAGTTTTGGTTAGCTTCTTAACTTTTTGAGATACAAAGCAACTGTTTCAATTTGCAATGTCAGATTGCTTACGGGAAGTAATCTGCAATCACGGTCACCTTATTTGATAGCGATGGTGTTCTTCATTTGTGGATTTGTATATATTAATTATAATTGCATATAAAACTACTTTTTGTTCCCATAGCTTTTAGCTCATAACTCAAATAAAAATGTTATTTCAAATTCCACTTTATTATTAGGCATTGCTTTTCTTGTGCCTTGCTGATTTATGTTGTAGTGACCAGCGCAAAGCAAAGATTTGTATCTTCCAATTTTAATTACCTAGTATTTTTCCACAAGGTGATGATCTGAAGAATGCACGTATCCGCTTACGTCTGCACAAACGATGCGCTGGCACAGGTTTTAGTATCCATATTAATCTTAAGTGATGGTTGAACGTAAATTATGGTTTTTATAGGGCACTTATTTTCTCGTGGTATAAAGCAAATACACTTGCAGTAGAACGTGTCGCGTAGGCGAATATTTATCGCTGGCAAAAAGTATAAATTGTCATTTTAATACCGCGTTTATTGATTATAAATAAATTAAATGGGCATAATTTTTTTTCTGTAAAGGGTGATGTAAATTAAAAATTTGTTTCTCCCTTGGAGGACAAAACGTGGAGACGCGAGGACATCGTTTTTAGAAATTTCAAAATGCATATTTTTATGCTTAAAATGTTGCGTCGCTAGATTTAAGAAAACCTTACTTAAGAATTTGCTGAAAATTTAGCCACGTAGGTTTTTAGTTCTCCTTTTTCAATCTCAGATATTTTCAGTATCATGGTTTTGTTTCGTGTATCGAAAAGTTGCGACAGTTTTGATTTTTTACATGTATATTGCTTCATTTTTTTCTTCGCTATCACTTTGGGGTCATTTTTGTTAACAAATCACTGTTTACTCATCTGCAGCGGTTTTCTATTATTAAATCCTCTCAATAAATAATATCTCGAAAAGCGGTTGTGATTGATATATGGAAATATTTTACAAAAACTATCAGAAAGTAATAACGATATATAGTGATTTATACAGATTGTCTCTTTCAACAATCCAAGGTGTAGCTCTTTTTCAGCATCACAGCGATCCGGAAAATATTTTATAATTAATTATCATCCCATTTAAGAATTCGGAGTTTCGAGATAACTTTAAATAATTCTGGTTAAAATAGAAACTTTTTAGGTTCTAATTTTGACTAATAAAATATTTACCAGAGTGTAACCAAACCCCCCTTTAATCGTGTATTTCTATTCTAAAATACCTAGATAACTAGTGATATGGGGTGCGCAAGGTGTCACAAATGTCAGCTTCGAGCTGAAAAGCTTTCGAAAACGTCCGATCTCTCTAAATTACCAACAACGCTGGAAATAGCCCCCATTTAAAGTGAACTTTAATCCAATTATTGGGACTTTCTGTATGTATACATTGAGCTACATTGTGTCTTTCATTCCCTCTTGACTGAAGAATTTCTAAATCGGCCAAAGATTTCTAAAGTAGGTAAGTAAACACAAAATATGGAATACTTGGTTCAAAAGAGATAGTTTGTTTTATATTTGAAAAAACACCATTGGGAATAAAACTTAAACTTAACCGACTAAAATTAACCAAAAAAATACCGTACAGCATGAACGTTAGTTAATTGGTTAGAGATGGTTTTTAGAAATATCAAGGTAAACCAAAAAACAAAATGTAGGATTGGTAGCCAAGTTTTTTTTTTCCAAGTGACGTATAAAACAAACACTATGAATTTTCTGACATATAAATCTACATAATATTTTTTTAAATTGAACTCCCTGTATATTATATATTTGTTTAATTACACACTTTATATTTTAGTCCACTCGTTTATGAAAAATCGGCAAAAATAAGAAATTTTTATATAATTTCAAAGA